TTTGTGACTGTCTGTGTCGTAACTCAAGAGCGTTCAACACTGCCCTGTAACCAGGTAGCATTGTTGGTGGCAGTTCAGAAAAGGCATCACGGTGTAGCTCATATAGCACGTCCAACGTGTTTGTGCCTATAAGAACTAGGGACTGGGCAGCTGCACGCACATCAGGGACAACTAAACCGAGTGTCGGCACTTCGGCTTCGAGGCCCAGGAAATCTTTTGGGAAAGTGATATGCATCTCAACGTATCCTAGGTAAGGTACACGTTGGCCATTGGCTCCTTCGACTTCTAGCAAGTCGTGAAGTGACTTAATTGGGTAATTCGACAGATGCTGTCGGTAGTAAGATTCAGGGACAGTAGTCACCTGGGACCCAGTGTCTAACAGACAGTTAACTGTATGACCGTTAACTCTAAGTTCAGCTGTACTTTTTGTGCCAATCAGCCCACAGGGAAGGCTGAAAGAGTCTGTTCTTAAATGTGACTTCATTTTGGCACATTTTTTGGATGGAGTATTTCGTTTTGGTTTGATGGGACCTGTGAATTCTGGATCAGCCTCTGTTTGTCCCACAACAGGGGCGGATTCTAGTTTAAAGGAGGTGGGTCATTCTGACTGTCCCATATCTGTCTTCTAGCTTTCAGTTCTTTTCGTTTTGCTTCTACCAAAGCTGCATTTGGCTCTGACTCACAGGTCGCTACAATATGTCCGTCCTCCCCACATCTGAAGCAGTACCATGGCTTGGGTCTGGTACTTTGGCGGCTTGTTGAGGGAAAATATTCGGGTTTAACATGGTCAGGTTTTTTAATTTCAGGACCTTTTGTCTTTTTTGGGGTTGCTGACTTCTTTTGCTTCATAAATGCGGTTAATTGGCTCTTCAGGTCAGCAACTTGCTTTTTCAGCTCTCTTAGGCAGCTTGACTCTGCTGCTACGCTTATATTTGCGTCGATGACGGTCTGTTCATGGGAAACTGCTTTTGGTTTTGTGGTACTAAAGTGTCTCTTCATTCGTGAGCTTTTAACCTCTTGTCTGTTTTCTGCCGTGCGAAGAAAAAGCAATAACTCTGCATAGGTAGGGGGATCTTTATTTTTCAGTTCTAGCTGCAGTTCTGTTAATAGGGTGTCATCCCAACAACCCCTGTTAAACTGTTTTAGAAGCTGTTTGTTCACTTCCTGGGGCTCAAGACCACCTCTACGTACTGCGAGATTAAGTGCCACCTGCAGACGGTGGAGATATGTGGATGGTTTTTCTCCATGATCTTGGAGTGTATTCATGAACCGGACAAGTAATTCCTCACCATCTTCAACAGCGCCGAAAGCCGAGTCCAAAAGCTCAATGTAGTCAGCCGGCGTGGCTTCTGGTCCGAGAGGGCGGATTACATCAGACGCAGGAGAGAGAAGGCTTTCAAGTATTTTACGTGTCTTGTCTAGCTGAGACAGAGAAGAATCGTCAATCATTAGACTAACATGAGAACGCCACGTTTCATAATCTGCCTCACTGTAGGGTCTAGGAGTTTTGCCAGAAAAAGCTCGTATTCTTAAAGCTGCATGAGTAGAGGAAATTTTTTCCACATTTTTCACCACATGTTCAACTACAATTTTCTGAATCTCTGGGGGATTAATATCTGTTGCAGTAAATGTTGGTGGGATAATGTGTGGTTTAGGAGGGCTTTGTAAGATTGTCTTCATAGGTTTAGGTGAACTAAACACTCTAGTTTGGTGTAAAGGTGAAACTCCACTCTGACTGGGTTCAGCTACTATGTTGGGTTCAGCCATTACATTAATTTGATCTAAGGTCCTATTTTCAAGATCAGTTTCTGTTGTCAATGTGGACTCAATAGATTTTCCTATGGTGGACATAACTTCTTTCAAGACTTCTTCAAAGTCTTTTCCACTCAGCTTAGCTAAGCCTTTCAGATCATTGAGGTAAGTTTCAGTAAAACTGCCTCCTATGGTTCTAGTGTACACGTCGTTTAGAGCTTGTATGTGATACCTGACTCGTGGATCATCCGTGGACAAGAGGTACGGCAATTCCGGTGCTAACGATTTAACTGCTACACCAGACTCAAATTCCACGACTTGACTTCCGTAAAGTTCAGATGAGCTATCATTAATGGTGAGTGTTCTGTAAATAGAGCCATGTTGTTCCAGAAATTCGTAAACTTCTTTGTCTCTTTCCGTACCGGTAACACCACTAACAACTACAGCATTTGGTACTTTAACACCATTCTCCTCAACAAACTCCATACTGACTATGGGTGAAAATTATTCAAAGATGTTTAATGTTGTCTCACAACCTTATGCTCCTGGCTGGCTCTGCCAGCTTATGTAACCTTACGTAGATTTACTAGAGGTGGTTCACATGAAAATCTTTGTGGTTTAACACCGAGTGGACCAGATCAAAAGATTCTAGACTCTGAGGAGCAAGTGGTGGAGTGACAACATGGAAAAGCAAGGTAAATATAACAATGGTTTATTACCAGCATTTATAACCCACTTAATATATAACAAAGCGCTTTGTGAAATAAAATAAAATGAAATAAAATAAAATAGTAAAATGAAATGTCACCAGTCTGTGTTTGTTCAGTCAGTCAGTCAGCTTGACAAATGTTCATGAAATCCTTGTCAGTCAGATCTTGGGTTGAAGTCGAGTTCAGGTGAGTGAAAGACCAGTTAATCACCGGCTTGATGGTTCGGTTGGGCTGGGGCTCGCCATCCAGAACTGGAACAAGAATCTTCAATTCACCGAGGTGAATCAATCCAAAATAAAAAACCTGACCAAGAAAAGTCAGCTTGGTTTACACGGGGTTTCCCAAGGGTAACGGCAAATCACGGTCTTCGGACCTCGAACTTGGAGTAATTGTTTTTCAAGTAACGGCTGCTAGTGCATCCTAGTTTGCTCTTCACGGCAAGTGCTTCCTCGTCAGCGTCTCAGCGCATCTGAAGGCAAGTGAAAGCTGCGTAGCGAGCAGCAGAAAGTGCTAAATTCTATTGGCTGATGCAATAGCTGGCTAGCCACGTGATTGGTTAGTCAGTTGCTACCTGAATTTTACTGGAACTTTCTATTTACTCGATTTTAGCTTTTCTTATTTGACTATTTTCAACAAGTTTGTATTTTCTTTTCTTTCTTTTTTTTAAACTATGAATGTATGAATGCTTAGATTTCTATTTATCTTATTTGGTCTTTTATCCTGTTTTAACGGTTTTGTAAATTTCCATTTATATTTCATTATTCATTCTAATTATGTAATGATGTTTCTATTGTAATCTGGGTTTTACACCGGGTTACATGTAGTAATGCTGGTCTCCTGTGGAGATCTAATATAGACTGGGACTGTGAAATTACAAGCATAACCTCAGACCACTGCGATTGTAGCTGGGCGCCATCAGCTCTTGCTCCACGGTTGGAGATCAGCGGGACATTAGCTACATGCTAACCTGAAGCTAACAGAGTTTTTCCGTTTGTTTTTATCAAGAAAAACACGGTAGAGCACATCCAAAGTGAAGGCACCTCCGACCTGTAATGAACTCATAACTAGGTCAGCTGACTGAGTATGTCGGGCTACGTTCCACCACGGTCAAAGATCCGCGAGTGCACCGTTGCTGATGGTCCCGGCTCCACTTCAACATGGTAAGCAAGTACACAAAAATAAGTATAAAACTGCAGCCTAGTGGCTCTTTTATGCAATGTCAGCAATGCAGAACTGTCAGGTACACAGGTGGCAGGAACGACCAATCACACTTTAGCAAGTATTAGCAGAGCCAATAGATGAGCTTATGGAGGTTCTAATGGAGGTTCTAATGGGAAACCAGCTTCAGCACAAGCAGGTTTTTTTCTGCTTGGCCCTAGTGCTTAGTTAGTGTCTATTTTAATAAAGTGTAATATTGTTTTTGGACAGTAAAACATGCAGGGGACAACAAAACCACATCCATGCCAAGCGGTGTTGTGGTAAGTGCATAGAATTTCCCCCCATTCAACCAGCAAATTGTTAGCGAGAAAAATGCAGTTGAGTGACTCAGAAATGCAGCAGCGTCAACTATAACAGCTGCAGTGATTCTGTGGTCTCCCTCAGAGATCCACAAGTGACCAGCATGACTACAGCCTCGCATCGGAGCTGTCCACGAGTCTGGCTACCCCGGGGAACTGTAACAGCCAGCCACCTGCTCTAGCAACTGTTCCTGGGCAGGAGACAGGAGAAGACGGGCACCCATTCCACTAACATGTTTGACTAAGCAGTTAAATAACGCAGCATTTCCCCATTCAACCAGGGAAATAAAGTACAGAAATATAATTTTACTTACTGAAAAAAGAAGCAACAACAGATGGATGGATGGATGATCTGTTAGTGCAGTCAATAAACACAGCTTGTCCTCTTTGTCCATATAATTCCATGATTAACATCCAAACACTAACACAGAGACAAAACTAAAGTTCGGAGAGTCGAAATGGCCGAACATCTACTAATGTGAGGCCCAGGTTGCGGCCTTTCTCCGGAGTTTGCTCTGAAGTCACGTGGATGCTCATTAATTGTTCAGAATTTTAAACATTCAATTACACTTAAACAGAAGAGCTACAAACGTTTACCTAAAATGGTTTTGGAACCAGGCTGTAAACGTGTTTATTTCTGCTGTGAAATTGGTATTTTAACATGGGAGTCAATGAGCATTTGCTCACTTCTGTTGCCAGCCCCTAGTGGATGAGGAGAGAACTGCAATTTTTGTCACTTCCGTGTTGGCTTCATTTCACACCAGGATTATGAGGGCTTGGGTTATTCCCAGTAAATGCTGGAAGATGAGTGATGCTCCAACATTCTTCTTTTTTATTTCCCCACATCAAACAAGCACAATACCAATAGCTCATGTTAGCATTAGCCATGTAGTTTAAGGTAGCAACATTTATTTGTTATGCTGATTTGTGTGTGTGTGTGTGTGTGTGTGTGTGTGTGTGTGTGTGTGTGTGTGTGTGTGTGTGTGTGTGTGTTTGTGTGTGTGTGTGTGTGTGTAAGTACCTTGACACCTGGGAAGGTCACAGCTGAAGAAGCGTAGGAGCCAAACATCAAGGACAGGATGGTTAGTCGTATATTCCCAAACATGTTGGACAGCTGAACAAGAGAAAACTATCCATGAGTTGATTCATAAACATGTGTTAAAGGTTCCATATCATGCTATTCTAAATCCTTAAGAAAAAAAGGTAGGTATGATTAAATATTACCGTTGGCTCCTCCTTGAACCGTCACCTTATCGTGGTGGAGGAGTTTGAGTGCCCTAATGATCCTAGGAGCTATGTTGTCTGGGGCACTTTGTGCCCCTGGTAGGGTCTCCCATGACAAATTGGTCTTAGGTGAAGGGTGAGACAAAGAACAGTTCACAGGATCTTTCATGGATGTAAATTCAAAAAGTCGGAGTACCCGGCCCGGACGGTTAACGGGGTCCCAACCTGGAGCCAGGCCTGGGGTTGGGGCCCGTGAGCGAGCGCCTGGTGGCCAGGCTTTCGCCCATGGGGCCCGGCCGGGCCCAGCCCGAACCGGATACATGAACTCATCCAACTGTGGACCCACCACCCGCAGGAGGAACATGAAGGGTCTGGTGCAATGTGGATCGGGTGGCAGACCAAGGCGGGAGCCTTGGCGGTCCGATCCCCGGACAATAAAACTGGTTTTTGGGACATGGAACGTCACCTCGCTGGCGGGGAAGGAGCAGGAGCTTGTGACAGAGGCTAGATATGGTCGGACTCACCTCGACACATAGCATTGGCTCTGGGACCCAAGTCCTTGAGAGGGGTTGGACACTCTCCTTTGCTGAAGTTGCTCCGGGTGAGAGGCGGAGGGCTGGGGTTGGCTTTTTGTTAGCCCCGAGACTCTCTGCCTGTGTGTTGGGGTTTACCCCGGGGGACAAGAGGGTAGCTTCCTTGCGCCTTCGGGTCGGGGAACGGGTCCTGACTGTTGTTAGTGCTTATGGGCCAAATATCAGTTCAGAGTACCCACCCTTTTTGGAGTCCCTGGGACGAGTGCTAGATAGTGCTCCATCAGGGGACTCCATTGTCCTGCTGGGGGACTTCAATGCTCACATGGACAATGACAGCTTGACCTGGAGGGATGTGATTGGGAGGAATGACCCACCTGATCTGAACTCGAGTGGTGTTTCATTATTGGACTTCTGTGCAAGCCGCAGTTTGGCCATAACGAACACCATGTTCGAACATAAGGATGCCCATCGGTACACTTGGTACCAGGGCAGCCTAGGTCACAGGTCGATGATAGATTTTGTAGTCGTATCATCTGACCTGCGGCCGTATGTTTTGGACACCCGAGTGAAGAGAGGGGCGGAGCTGTCAACTGATCACCACCTGGTGGTGAGTTGGATCAGATGGCAGGGGAAGATGCCGCGTAGACCTGGCAGACCCAAAAGCATAGTGAGGGTCTGCTGGGAACGCCTGGCAGAAGAAGCTGTTAAGACGGTCTTCAACTCCCACCTCCGGCAGAGCTTTGACCGCGTCCCGAGAGCAGTGGGGGACATTGACTACGAGTGGGCCTTGTTCCACTCTGCGATTGTTGAGGCAGCTGTTGCTAGCTGTGGTCGCAAGGTGGCCAGTGCAAGTCGTGGTGGAAACCCCCGTACCCGCTGGTGGACAACAGAGACTTGGGGAGCCATCAGGCTGAAGAAGGAGGCCTATGGGGCGTGGCTGGTCTGTGGGTCTCCAGAGGCAGCAGACAGGTACCGGATAGCCAAGCGGGGTGCAGCAGTGGCAGTTGCTGAGGCAAAATCTCGGGCGTGGGAGGAGTTTGGTGAGGCCATGGAGAAAGACTATCGATCAGCTCCAAAGAGGTTCAGGCAAACTGTCCGGTGCCTCAGGAGAGGAAGGCAGCAACTCGCTCACACTGTTTACAGTGGGGATGGGGAGCTGCTGACGTCAACTGGGGCTATAGTCGGACGGTGGAAGGAATACTTTCAGGAGCTCCTCAATCCCACCTACACACATTCCGAGGAGGAACCAGAGCCGGGAGACCTGGGGATGGACTGTCCAATCTCGGGGGCAGAAGTTGCTGAGGTAGTCAAACAACTACACAGCGGCGGAGCCCCGGGGGCGGATGAGGTTCATCCTGGGTATCTCAAGGCTATGGATGTTGTAGGGCTGTCATGGTTGACACGTCTCTGCAACATTGTGTGGTCATCGGGGGCAGTTCCTAGGGAGTGGCAGACCGGGGTGGTGGTCCCCATCTTTAAGAAGGGTGACCTGAGGGTGTGTTCCAACTATAGGGGGATCACACTCCTCAGCCTCCCTGGAAAGGTCTACTCCAAGGTACTGGAGAGGAGGGTCGGATCGATAGTTGAATCTCAGATTGAGGAGGAGTAATGTGGTTTTCGTCCTGGCCGTGGAACCGTGGACCAGCTCTAAACCCTTGCAGGGGTGATGGAAGGGGCATGGGAGTTTGCCCAACCAATCCACATGTGTTTTGTGGATTTGGAGAAGGCTTATGACCGTGTCCCCAGGGACACCCTGTGGGGGACGCTCAAGGAGTATGGGGTGGGTGGCTTTCTGTTAAGGGCCATTCAGTCCCTTTCCCAGAGGAGCGTGAGTTTGGTCCGCATAGCCGGTAGTAAGTCGGACCTGTTCCCGGTGAGGGTTGGACTCCGCCAGGGCTGCCCTTTGTCACCGGTTCTGTTCATTACCTTTATGGACAGAATTTCTAGGCGCAGCCGTGGTGTGGAGTGTGTCGAGTTTGGTGGTAGGAGAATCTCGTCTCTGCTTTTGCGGATGATGTGGTCCTCCTAGCTTCATCCAGCTCTGACCTTCAGCTCTTGCTTGGTAGGTTCGCGGCCGAGTGTGAAGCGGCTGGGATGAGGATCAGCACCTCCAAATCTGAGACCATGGTTCTCGACCGGAAAAGGGTGGCTTCCCAACTCCGGGTTGGGGGAGAGGTCCTTCCTCAAGTGGAGGAGTTTAAGTATCTCGGGGTCTTGTTCACGAGTGAGGGTAGGAGGGATCGGGAGATCGACAGGTGGATTGGTTCAGCATCTGCAGTGATGCGGACGCTGAGCCGATCTGTCGTGGTAAAGAGGGAGCTGAGCTAGAAAGCCAGGCTCTCGATTTACCGGTCGATCTACCTCCCAATCCTCACCTATGGTCATGAGCTTTGGGTTATGACCGAAAGAACGAGATCGTGGATACAAGCGGCCAAAATGAGTTTCCTCCGTAGGGTGGCCGGGCTCAGCCTTAGAGATAGGGTGAGGAGCTCGGACATTTGGGAGGGACTTGGAGTAGAACCGCTGCTTCTCCGGATCGAAAGTAGCCAGTTGAGGTGGTTTGGGCATCTGGTCAGGAAGCCTCCTGGACGCCTCCTCGGGGAGGTGTTTCGGGCATGTCCTGCCGGCAGGGGGCCCCCGGGTCGACCCAGGACACGTTGGAGAGGTTACATCTCCAATCTGGTCCGGGAACGCCTCGGGGTCCTGCCGGAGGAGCTGGTGGAGAAGGCTGGGGAGAGGACAGTCTGGAGCTCCCAAGTTGGGATGCTGCCCCCGCGACCCGGACCCGGATAAGCAGAGGAAGACGACGAAGACGACTGAGATGTCATTTATCTCAAATACAAGTTATCTTTGTCTGCGGGAATTTAAAACCTGGAAAAGAAATGAATTGTTTCAATGAAACCACGCCCACCCCAGCTCCGACAAAACGTGCCTACAACAGCTCCTTAGGCAAGTCAGTCAAAAACTTGAAACTGAGTTTCTGTAGCTGAGAGCTGGGAGGGAGGGGTGAATGAGTCATTTCTGTCTGAGGTGTTTTTTTTTGCAGAGCAAAGCTGCCCTCCTGGTGGAGGGTAACTTTGAAGTGCCTTTTTTTCCCTCCATGTGAACCAATCCTCATGTAACCTCTCTTATCTCTATTAAGGTAGCGTGACTCATGGTTGCGAATGACCACAGTCACCAATTCTTGTCATGTGTCTTGCCCATGTATGTCTGATCTCTGAATTGTGTGTACTGAAACTCTAATTTCCCTCTGGGATTAATAAAGTATCTTTGATTTGATTTTGATTTGATTTGATCAAACAAGTGAGCATGGGGGCCCACCTAGATTGGTTGTACCTAGGGCGCAGAGTTTGGAGCTACGCCCCTGCTCCTGATCAAAAGGATCTTATTACAAACTAGATTTGGGTCCAAACCTTCATCCAACATGACAAATAAACAATCGTTCTGTGGGGGAGCCTGGCCAACACTATCTTTCCCAGTGGGCCCTGCATCAATATCTGCATCTAGCTTAGGCAGAGAACAGGGCAGTTGGGAGAACTTCATCACCATGTGGAGCAATGATGACTAGAACGCATTACTCTTGAATTACATTCTTTTTTCCAGTAAGATGAAATCAAAGGCATTGTGTCGTCTAGTCAAGTAAACAAATTAAAGTTACTTTCCCTGTTCACTTTCCATTATCATTTTCCTTTGACACAAGGATTTTAAATACTACCACATAATCCCAGGCCAGCTTCTGTTATGGTGCCAGATATTCTGGTTAAAAGACGATGGGATCTTGTTTATGCCAACATGTCTGACAGACACGTCCAAAGCAACTCATAAAAGATAAATAACCCATACTTGTACAGCGCCTTTCTGAGTCAGAGGACTCCAATGCATTTTACACTACAGTGACTCATTCATTCATTCATTCATTCATTCATTCATTCATTCATTCATTCATTCACACACTAGTGGTGCCCTGCCCTGCCTCTGACCACCACCAGCACGCAAGGAAGGTGAAGTTCATTGCTCAAAGACACAAAAATACAACTTCATGAGCCTGGGACTGAACCTGCAACCCTCTGATTACAGGGCAAACTCCTAACTCCTGAGCCACCATCACCCCTATTTTAATGTTTATGTGTGAGACTTACCGTAAGTGAAGTAAAGGTCAGACAGATTCCTCCAAAACCATTAAAGGAGACAGCAAAGAAGATCAGGACGGACAGCACTGATGGAATAAAGTGAAGCATTTTTTAACAGCAAGGAAAACATTAGTTCTCTCCACACAGTTTATGCAAGATTAAACTTCTTCCCCTCCTTGGGCTGCCACCTCACCGTGGTGGTGGGGTTTGAGTGTCCCAATGATCCTAGGAGCTTAAGTTGCCTGAGGCTTTATGACTCTGGTAGGGTCAACCATGGCAACCAGGCCCTAGATGAGGGATCAGACAAAGTGCAGCCCTTATGATGAACAATACAAATGGAAACAGTGGATGAGATCCACCCGGATTATTTTAAGGCTGTGGATGTTGTGGGGCCGTGTTGGTTGACCTGGCTCTGCAGTATCACGTGGACATTGGCGGCAGTTTCACTGGACTGGCAGACTGGGGTGGTGGTCCCCCCATTTAAAAAGGGGGGATGCAGAGTGTGTTCCAACCACAGAGGGATGACACTCCTGAGCCTCCCTGGTAAAGTCTATTCAGGGGTTCTGGAGAGGAGGGTGTGTCGGATTGTTGAACCTCAGATTCAGGAGGAGCAATGTGGTTTTCGTCCTGGCCGTGGAACACTGGACCAGCTCTATACCCTTAGGGGGATCCTGGCAGGTGCGTGGGAGTTCGCCTAGCCAATCTACATGTGTTTTGTGGATTTGGAGAAGGCGTTCAACTATGTCCCCCAAGGGGCCCTGTGGGGGCACTCCGGAAATATGGGGTACCAGGCCCTCTGATACGGGCTGTTAGGTCCCTGTATTGCCGGCAGTAAGTCGGGTTCGTTCCCAGTGAGAGTTGGACTTTGCCAAGGCGGCCCTTTGTCACCGATTCTGTTCATAACCTTTATGGACATGATTTCTGGGCACATCCAAGGTGTTGAGATGATCCGTTTTGGTGGCCTAAGGATCAGGTCTCTGCTTTTTGCGGATGACTCGGTTCTGTTGGCTTCACCAGACAGTGATCTCCGGCTTTTGCTGGAGCGATTTGCAGCTGAATCTGAAGCGGCTGGGATGGGAATCAGCTCCTCTAAATCTGAGACCATGGTCCTGTATCAGAAAAGGGTAGAATGCCTTCTCTGGGTCAGGGATGGAGTCCTGCCTCAAGTGGAGGAGTTTAAGTATCTCGGGGTCTTGTTCGCGAGTGAGGGAATGATGGAGCGTGAGATCGACAGGCGGATTGGTGCTGCATCTGCAGTGATGCGGGCGCTGTACTGATCTGTTGTGGTGATGAGAGAGCTGAGCCAGGAGGCAAAGCTCTCGATTTACTGATAGATCTACGTTCCTACCCTCACCTATGGTCACGAGCTTTGGGTAGGGACCAAAAATGATTGTGGATACAAGCGGCTGAAATGAGTTTTCTCCGCTGGGTGGCTGGGCTCTCAGGGACAGGGTAAGAGGCTCGGTCATCCGGGGGGTTCAGAGTAGACCCGCTGCTCCTCCACATCGAAAGGAGCTAATTGAGGTGGCTCGGGCATCTGGTTAGGATGCCTCCCTGGTGAGGTTTTCCAGGCATGTCCAACTGGGAGGACATCTAAGGGAAGACCCAGGACACGCCGGAGGGACTATGTGACTCGGCTGGCCAGGAAACACCTTGGGATTCCCCAGGAGCAGCTGGCTCAAGTAGCTGGTGAGAGGGAAGTCTGGGCCTCTCGGCTTAAGCTGCTGCCCTTGTGACCTGACTCTGGATAAGCGGCTGTAAATGGATGGATGGTAAACAACAGCTCAAACTTCTTGAAAGGGTGCGACTATGGCTTCTTGTTCTCTAAGAGAGTTGTAGTTCTTCTCTCAGGTCAATGTTGGTCAACAGATTTTGATCACAAGTTAGTACGAGTGTGAAATGTTTCGCTATGATGGGACCACAAGGTGTACCTGTCTAAGAGCTGTCTCACCTGCAGGATCGTAGGCAGCAACAGCCATCATCGCACAGGAGGCTGCGAAGCACGAGCTGGAACACACGCACAGAGTTAACAAAGGTTGAATATTCTAATATTCATACTCGAATTGAAGTTGGAGTCTCTCAAAACATTTTAAGTACTTTCTGTATTAGTTGAACAATATTTTAACAAAGTATTTCTGTGTTTAAAATGGACGTTCTCCTTAGTTTTAGTACTTTCTACCAACTTGCTCTGTTTTTTCAATTGAGAATAAAAGTTTTTACTGGCAGCGGAATTAAGTGTGTCCTGTAAGCAGAGGGTTGCCGGTTCAATCTCCATCTGTTGCAGTCATTGTGTTATTGAGCAAGACGCATCGCTCTCCTTGCCTGCATGTGGTGTTGAGGGGGACCGGTGGCACCTGCCCTCGGCAGCCTCACCTCTGTCAGTTAGCCCCAGGGCAGCTGGGGCTATAAAGTAGCTCATCACCAGCAACAAAGCAGCCCGTCTCAATTGAGGACGCCTCTCTGGTGCCACACACCAGCCTGTCACTGCTGCTGGAACGCGATGATGTGCATCTTTCACACGCACTCACTTGTGCACATTGTTCTGCTACAGTGCCAAAGTTTGACTTTCAAAAAGGTTTCCCAAAGTGCCTTTCCAAGCACTTCCCCCCCCATGAGTCGCTCTTGGTGTTTCTCCAGATAGAACAACAGTGGTAGAGGCCCGAGCCTGGCTCTCGGCTGTGAAGCGTTCACTACCGGTGCCACGCATGCAATCGCTCTCGGAATGTGCTCAGGAATGGTGTCGCGTCTGCCACACGAGCAGGCGGATATACACGACATTGTTCACAATGGTCATATGCTTCAGTTTCTTTGACATCCCCCTGTTCCGTTGAATTATGCAAAACGAGACTAACAGCTCCAAAACAACGTTTCACCCTTGGGTCAGACTTGCAGGAACTTTTGTTGAAGGAGGTCACTACCTGAGTTCCTCATGGGGAGGAGAAGTCAGGGTTTCTTCCTCTTATTTCCTGGTTCTGAAAAAGAACGGGAGGGATGAGGCCCATCCTTGACCTGTCTCTGACGTCTTCTCCCCACCACAGAACGTGTGTGGCCTGTTAAGCTTGGTTTATGCTTGACGCGTCCGCGAGGTCCGCACGGCTACACGCGGCAAAATTGCGTCATTTTAACAACCACGCCCCTCCACCGCGCCTCCGCACGGCCCAAACTTTCCGCACCGCGCACCTAGGAAGTTTTCTAAACACGCGGACGGACATGGTGGACTGGCAAGAACTAGTATGGCAGAGGTTCGTAAATACAGACATTTGTATGATTCAGCCTCTGTCACTTGAAATGAAGAAGAAGAAGAAAATATAATTTCTATAGCGCCTCTCAAGATAAAAATCACGAGGCGCTTCACAAAAACAAAAAATGTTAAAATATAAAAAAGCATTTAGAAAATGTTTAAAAATATATTTAAAATGAGCACAAATAGATAATTGGGATTTAAAAGAAAAAATGTTAGAGAGAGAGAGTGAATAGGAAAGAGGGAAATCAGTGGATCCTGAGGAAGGTGGAATAGGTGGGGAGAGCAGAATAAAGAGAGAGAGGTGAAGAAGGTCATACAAAAGCCAGCTTGAACAAGTGAGTCTTCAGCTGCTTTTTAAAGGAGACCACTGAGTCCACTGATCTCAGGCTCAGAGGGAGAGAGGTCCAGAGTCTGGGGGCCACAGCAGCAGATGATCCGTCACCTTTGACCTTTAGCCTGGTGCTGCACAACCAGTAGGCTTTGATCCCTGGACCTCAGGGACCTGCTGGGGGTGTAGGGACTAAGAAGATCACCAATGTAAGATGGTGCTTGTCCATGTAAGGCCCTATAGACCAGAACCAGGATCTTGAAATGAACCCTGAAGTTGACTGGCAGCCAGTGAAGCTGGAGGAGAAGCGGGGTGATGTGGGTGTGTTTGGAGGACTTGGTCAGAAGCCGAGCACAGGCGTTCTGAACCACCTGTAGACGGTTCAGGGAGGTTCTGCTCAGACACGTGAAAAGAGAGTTGCAGTAGTATCTAATCAAATCAAACTTTATTTATATAGCACTTAATCATATAATGTAACTCAACGTGCTTAACAAATTAAAAAGACCCCGCATACCCACACTCCCTCCCATCCCCAGAATTTAAAAACAGTCTGACAATAAAAACCCCTTCACAACACACATCCTCTGGCACACACACATGCCCCTGAAAGATAAGTAGGCCCAAGACCATTAAAGGGGCATTATGGAAGTGTGACAGCCAAAAAATGTATAGAAATAATAAATGTCTTCTTCATACATTCTCCTGCAATGCCCTGGTCCTGTAGAAAGAGCCCTGGCATTTTTACTGTGATTGCCTGTTTTTCTGTAAAATCACAGAAAAAGAGAGATGCTCGGGTCGAGCAGTTCCTAACGCCTGGGACCGATGGACTGAAAAGCACTTTTAAACAAAGATGAGGGTAAGATGTGGAGGGGGCATGCAGAGGTCTTCATAGAGTTAACTAGTTTGGTTAACTCAGGCAAAGAAACAGGAGCAAAGCTCTCTAGGATGATGGGCCTGGTTGGAGTCGGGAGAGGCGGCGATAAGGCTGAAGGAGAGATGCTAGATCTAACCTTATTGACTTTGTCCACAAAGAAAGACAGAAAGTTCTCACAGTCTGCAACAGAGTGGATGGAGGCTGTAGGAGAGGCAGGAGAGACGATGCTGCTGATGGTGTTAAACAGCACCTTGGGGTTCCCTTTGCTCTGGGACACCAGGTTGGAAAAATACGAAACTCTCGCATCTCTGACTGCAGAGTTAAAGGATGTTAGAAGATCCTTTAGGTGCAGCAGATGGACGTGGAGATGGGTTTTCTTCCACAAACGCTCAATTTTTCTGCATTGGCGCTTCAGGCTGCGAAGGCTGTCATTAAACCAGGGAGTAGGGTTCACTGCAGGAACTGATCTGGTTCTGACAGGACAGATGTTGTCCAGAATGGAGAGGCAGTGCTCGTTGAACTGAGAAGTTAAGGAATCTGGGTCGTTATCAGAAGAACAGGGTGGATCAAAAGCAGCAGAACAATTGCTAGCTGTGCTCTCATTAAGAAAACGAGAACTAACCAGACGGCGAGCAGGAGGTGGGGACGCAGAAACTGACAAGTTCAAGAAAATGCAATGGTGATCTGACATATAAACGTCCTCAGGACATGCCTTGACTCGCACCTTAAGCGAATGGCTTCCAAGGTTGGACATGACCCAACAGCAACCTTAAAGAGCTGCACCTATACTCAGAATCTAGGGTTATAACTGTTGTTACTGTCTTTGTGCGGTCCAAAACGTGTGTGCCCCAACCATCAGGATCCCGTATTTTCTGTAGTTTTAAACCTATATCTGACATTAGCACAACAAAAAACTTCAATATGAATTCTAATTTTGGCATGCCAGCTGCAAATGATCAGGGGCTTCTAAAAGAAAATTAACCCAAACAACCGGATGGGCGAGTCTCACTGGGAGGGACAATAACAGGAGGATGTATGAGGAGAAGGGGTGTAACTACAAACCCACAGGGACACAAATGTGATGATATGAATAAAGCAGAGGATGCGGCAAAAGATGGGAGAAGCAAAGAAAAACGTGTATGAACCAATGACAATAGATGAAAAAATGACAGACACCTCCCAACAAGCCTGAGCGGGCGCGGCCCATATCTGTCCATCAGGATCCCCAAGGGCAGCGTGGCCGCACTAAGGAGGAAGGAGCCGATGGTGAAGCCAAGATTCAGTATCTCATCTTGCTCCACACAGCTCCTCCAACCACTTTCTTCAACTGCGGTCTCGTTGGTGAGAACCGTCTCATTTTCTGAAAAAGACAAAAATTCATCATCACAACGTAATAACTGAATACAACAAGCAAGCAGCACACAAACAACTAACTCCAGTGAAACTCAGACTCTAACGGGGCTAAAATCTGGATCCACCACGCTCTTTAAACATTGTTGACATGAGACAGGCGGCAGGACTCTGTTGTAGATTAAATAGATCTAAGTGATTCAGATTTACTGTCACAGCTGGCAAAAATCTTTTTCTTCGTTCTGACACCTTATCACGGACATGCTGGAGGACCAGAGAGATGCTACACTGATAGAGTTGTGGGTTGTTTCTGAAGCATCCTCTCTCCTGAACACTTTGTCAGCTTCAAGGAGGACTTCCTGCCCCTGCTGCTGATAAACTCAGAGTGTCCCTGCGCGTGGAAATGTAACTCTGTATTTAGCAAACCTTATTTCTGGAAAATTCCCTGAAGAATAGAGGAGGATTTTGAAGCAATAGTTCCATGAAGCTCCTATCAACAGAACAGCGTACATCTCTCTTATCCATGACTGTGGGGTTGTGTGTTACAAGATTCTGGTGCTAAAAGTCTGCTGTGAAGCTACTGAACCATAAGTGGACCAACCAATGCACAAGTGAGAGTAGAAGCCCTCGTTCTTCAGCATGATGAGCAGCGAGGCCCAACCCAGCAGAACTGCAGAGAAGAGCAGGTTCTCCATGATGGCCGTGACGGCCATCCACCACCTCCGCCTGTAAGCCTGAGCCAAGCTGGGAGCCATGGTAGCTGGGGACACGGGGGTGGGGAGGGGGAGTTAGTCAAGTCCAGACTAACTCACCAATATGGAAAGCAACACTCACAAAATCAATGATAGGCTGACGCTAATAAACAAGAAGTAAAACCAAACGGAGCACAAACAAACACGGTGCCTCGCAAAAGTATCCTTGAACTTTTAGCACATAACTGTGAAGCAGAATGAAGCTGATATGATTCTAAGCAAATAAAAATCAGAAAAGTGGGCCGTGCTTTTGTGTTGAAGTTTGTGGTTGAAAGGTGTTAAAATAGTTCAGCGAAAGGATGCTGCGGTCCAATCGTGTGATCGGAAATCAGGTTTGATCGTGTGATTTTCAGGAAATTGGGATAAGGCGGGAAAAGTCTGATTTAACCATATAAAGCAACAAACATTACATTTAAAGAGCAAGTCAACCCCTACAAGAGTCTAACTCCACTCCCACTTCATGTTTGAAAAATGCAACACATGCTGTTGCCTGCATGGACGTAATTTGGGGGGGGGGGGGGACATGTCCCCCCCACTTTTTCCAAAGTCAAGTTTTGACCCCTGCACTTTTTACCATCCAAAAACAATATTACGCTGTTAAATTGACACTGGATGAGCCAAGCAGAAAACAACCTGTAACCCAGAAGCTAGAACCTTAATGAGGTATTAACTAATTGGCTTACTAATATGATCCATCCTCAATTTAGATAAAATATAAAATATAAATTAAGGAAATTAACAATACTAATTAATAGATATCTAATTAACTAATAGATAATTTCATAATGAATTATTGGAAGGGTGAATAACTAAAATAACGAGTTTAATATTAAACATCGGTTAAAACAAGAATCTTGAACATCACTAACAGAAACAGAAGAGGAAAGCTGTATACTATTGGTCCAGGTGGGAATCTGAAATTTCATTGGCTGAGAGAAATAAGTCCCGCCTCCGCGAAATAAAACCGTGCGACGCAGCTGAGCGAGAGGAGAGACAAACGGCTGTGCAGCACGCAGATACAGAAAGCAAAGACTGAGCGGTTAGAGAGAGAGAGAGAGAAAAAAAACAACGGTCGAGGCCGTGAAGAACCCTGATTTGGGTGCCGCATAGATAGAGGGAGAGGCGGACTTGACTCCTTCTAATAAGAGCTAGGAACTTGGAACCAACGCGATTTGTGTGGAGACGACAGAGTGAACCAATCCTCTGTAGGAGGGAACCGTTGGAGCGCGTTGGCTGGGTTTTTTTTTCCTTGGGTTTGATCCCGACTCCTATGATCACTCACTTGGAACGAGAACTGGATTTCTTCCTGACGAGGGAGATGGCGAGCCTTAACCACTGAACGAACCAGGACATCTCAAGTAACTGAAGAGCAGACTGCTCTCTTCTGTGAACAATCTCAACGGTGTGGTAGGAAAAAATCGCACCACCGGACTCTGACTTTCACCCCAAGCGTGGGGATTTGACTTGACGCCGGCTGACTTGTGACTCATATGATCAAATCTCATACCGACCATTTTACTATTGTCGATTGTTTTCATCTGTTTTTGTATGTTATCTTTATGTGTTATATTTCCCATTATTATTAAAATTTAGTATATAAACCGTTTCATGCTATACCCGTGACTCCAGTCATTCTTAAACAACCTCCAATTCTCCCCGAACCTAATTATTGGCCCATTTGTTTATTTTTTCTTTTAATTATCTTATTGTATCCTGTAATCCGGTTACATAAAACTTGGCGAGCCAGCCAGGAGAATTGTAGAGTTGTTACCTTAGCTAACCATTGACTGACATCATAAGAGTGCCTGGAGGTCACAGTGGTTTGCCATTTTGGCATTATTGGTACTTTTGAGTGCTTTAAAATGGAAGTTGTGAAAACAGAAAAGGTCAAAGTTTCAAATGCTGTTTTAATCAGTGGGTTAACTGATACAGACCTTGATAACGAAGTCTTTGGGTTTATGGAAGGATTCGGACCAGTTAACAGGCGCATTAAGTTACCAAACTGTGATCAGATTATTGTGGAGTTTCAACATGAAGCCACTGTTAAGGAATTAAAGAAACAATGTTTACCCTATGACAAACCTTGTACTAGGAACCCAGATGTTTTCTTCCATATTCAAGACCTAGCCAGCGCGTACAGTCTAGAAACTAGCACATCTGCCACTGATGCCTATCTGTCAGAGCTCAGGGACATAGCTGCGCGTAGCAATCAATCATTTAAAGACCTTCTAATGGAGGAACTGGCAAAAATTGGGGAATCTTTAGGAAGGGATACCCATGCATCTGAACCAGTCACTGAACCAGAGCCAATGCTCCATAGTGACCAAGTTACATATTCCCTGCCTTTAACACCAGAAGTTAACTATATGAACAACTCAAAGGACAATTGTCCACCTACAGAGACTGGAAAACAAAACCCTTGCATTCCACCAAATCTTTTAAACACACCTGAGGTTCAGCGAGTTATTGTGGAACACATTGTTAAAAGCAGTGAGGTTATCCCTCCGCCTACTTCACAATACAGACTAAAACCGTTCTCAGGGCGAGTTCCACACCCTTCTTTTGAAACTGACTATGATACTTGGCGTAGTAGTGTAGTGTTATGCATAAATGATCCTTCACTCACCAAGTCCCAAATTGTACGAAGAATCGTGGAGAGTCTGTCAGCCCCAGCAGCGAGCATCGTTAAAGCTCTTAGTCCAAAATCCGACCCGGAAACGTACCTTGAACATCTCGATTCAGCTTACGCAGCTGTCGAAGACGGCGACGAGCTCTTTGCTCGCTTCTTAAACACAAACCAGGACAGTGGTGAAAAACCTTCCGATTACTTTCAGAGGTTATACACCTTGTTAAACCTAGTTATTCAGAGGAATGGAATTTCCTCCAGTGACGCCGACCAGCAGCTGCTCAAGCAGTTTTGCAGAGGCTGTTGGGACAGCTCGCTGATTTCAAACCTGCAACTCGAACAAAAGAAAGACAACCCGCCTCATTTTACAGCACTTCTCCTCAAACTGCGCACTGAAGAAGACAAACAGGCTACTAAAGCAGCACGCATGAAACAACACTTAGGGGCACAACGAACTAGAGTGTATTCAAATGTGCAAACAACATGCTCTCAGAGTAAAAACACTTGTGAACTGGAAATAGATGATAACTGTGATGACTTACGCAAACAAATCGCTGAGCTCAGGAGCCAAATTGCACAGCTTAAGGTTAACAACACAGATAAAAAGGCAAAGAAAACTCAAAAAGAGTCAAAACCCCGTGTGGGGACTAAAATTCCAGATGAGCCCAAACAGATTCAGCAGATAACAGCAGTGGTGCCCAGACCAAAGCCTGGATACTGTTTTAAGTGCGGAGAAGATGGGCACATAGCTTCTAGCTGTAGCAACGAGCCAAATCCAGCACTAGTTGCAACTAAAAGACTTGCTCTTAGACAGAAGCAGCGCGAGTGGGAGATGTCAAAGCCAATTGCTCAGTCTCCTCCTTTAAACCGGTAGAAGCTCCTATCGTGGGACAGATAGGTGCTAAAGTAGAACCAAGTCCCTCTAAGGAAAGGACAGAGAGACTTTTTTGCAAGCCAGTTCATGCTCATTCAGTGCCAAAACTTCCCAAAAGATTAGTGGGTAGGCGATGCACAGCTACAGTCTCAGTTAACAGTGTTGAATGTAATTGTTTACTGGATTCAGGGTCCCAGGTAACCACCATTGCCAATTCTTTTTACCAAGAACACTTACCTGACCTCTCAATTAAACCCATCAGTAATCTGTTAGAAGTCGAGGGCGCAAACGGTCAAGCAGTTCCTTATTTAGGATACATAGAGATAAGTGTCACATTTCCAAAAGAGCTCGATCAGTCTGGACTTGAGTTACCTACCCTTGCGTTAGTGGTTCCGGATATAAGCTCAAACTCTGATACACCACTACTCATTGGCACAAACACACTCGATCCTTTGTATGAGCAATTGTCTGCCAATAACTTACCTGATTCCAAGGCACTCTCTTATGGGTACCAACACGTGCTAAAAGCCTTAGCAGTCAGAAAAAAACAAAGCAAAGATGGACGAGTTGGTGTGGTGAAGCTTCGAGGGAGAACCCAAGAAGTTCTCCCTGCAAATAAAAAACTGTTACTAGAAGGGTTTATGCAACCCAGCCAAAACAAGCATGAGCCTTATGCACTCATTGAACAACCCACCAATGGTTCTCTACCAGGGGGTATAATTGTAGACTGTTGCCTCATTTCCTTACCTTCACATGGTCCATACAAAGTACCTGTTGTACTAAGAAACGAAACTAACCATGACATCACATTACCCACTAACTGTGTGATCGCTGAGTTAGTTAAAGCCGATCGTGTTATGCCATATCCAGAACCTGACAAAAGTGATCAGAAAGTACTTGCGGCGTGTAGTTCGCAGCAAGAGACTTCACCTTCAAACCCTCCTCTCAGTTTTGACTTCGGTACTTCGCCCTTGTCCGAAGAATGGAAAGGGAGGATCACCAACAAACTTAACACTTACTCCGATGTGTTTTCGCACCACGATCTTGATTTTGGTCATACACAACAGATAAGACATCACATCAACTTAAAAGACGAGACCCCATTCAAACAGAAATCTCGGCCGATCCATCCACATGATTATGAAGCCGTGAGAAAACATTTGGAAGCCCTCTTGGAAACCGGTATAATAAGAGAGTCGGAGTCTCCATTTGCCTCACCAATAGTGGTAGTTCGGAAAAAGAATGGTGAGGTACGTCTATGTATAGACTATAGAAAGCTTAATCTGCAAACCATTCGCGACGCATATGCCCTGCCTAACTTGGAGGAGTCCTTTTCTGCTCTCGCTGGATCACAGTGGTTTTCTGTGATGGACCTCAAGTCAGGTTACTATCAAATAGAGATGTGTGAAAAGGATAAACCTAAAACTGCTTTTGTTTGCCCGTTTGGGTTTTATGAATTTAACCGTATGCCACAAGGAATAACAAATGCTCCAAGCACTTTCCAACGG